ACTTCCCATGTATTAGAGCAGACTAAAGCAGAGGTGAGAGAATAAAAAATAAAAAAAAGAGGGGAAAAAAAAGGAAAGCCATTTTCAAGTTTAAATGTCATTTTAAAAAGGGAAATTTTATAAGATGGCAAGAGCAGGGGTGGGGGAAAAGGTTTGATGTCCCTCCCATTCTTGCACTTCCTTAGGGGGTGTGACTAATGAGGGCTGGTTAATTCATCTTTATTGTCCAGACTGTTGGATTTTTTGGGTTGTTCCCATGCCTGATTTCAGCTCAGGCCATTCACAGGCTGCCATCCTGCTTGCAGGGCCCATCAGGGAGCAGAGGGCAGGTGGGTGCTCCCTCCCCACAGGGAATTTGGAGGTGCCACCTGTCCTGGAGGCTGGCAGAGCATYRKTGTGTCCTCTTCCCATCACTGCCCWTCCCAGCTCCACCATCCTCCTGCCACAGAAATGATGGCCCAATGCAGGGGAAGGTCCTTGGGAAATGAAGAAAAGGAGAAAAAACACAAAAATAGGGGAAAATTGGCTTTTCAGCACTCGTGGGCAGCTGTGATTTGCAGGTGTGAGTTCCCTGGCCCCGTGGGGTTGTTTTGCTTTACAAAGCCAATTGCTCCATGCACCAAGTTTGTGTTTCTTCCATCAGTGCCACATCCCGTGCCCAGGGCTGAGAGAAGCAGCATCCCTGAGCTCTGGGAGACAGGACAGGCTGGGGAAAAAGGCAGGAGTGAGTGGTTTTCTCTGGGAGGAAYGGGGACTGAGGATAGAGGTCAGGTCCAGTTCTGGAGCTGGACTTGCTGAGATGGGGCAAGAGGAAGGCAGAAGGTCTAACCAGGGAGGCAGCATGGCCACAGATTTATTTCCAGCTCAAAAAACTAGTTTGAAGGGCAAATTAACTAATGGAAAGCACTGTTTGGGAGCACTGCCTCCACCCTTCCCCTTTTGCTGGGGCTCATCACTTCACAGTCCCAATCTCACCCACATGCCCCTTGAGGGTGGCTGGTGCAGGGGCTGATGGGGCAAGACTTTTCTCTGAATTCCACCCCTGATTTTTTTCTGATCAGTTTGCTTATGGGGATTTGCATCTCTGCCCTTCACATTTCCCCACCTGTAAAATGACAGTATCACTGCCAGCCTCAGTCAAAAGGCAYCTGGAGCTCTGCTCACCAGGGAGAGTGGTGAGACAGCTGGTAATTCTTAAAATAAATTATCAGCAAGAGAAGGAGCCACAAAAAAAAACATTCATCAGCTATTGAAGGACCCTGGAAGATCAATGGTTTAGTTAATATCATTCTTGCCAAGTATTAGCCTGCAAAGATTAGAGCTGCCARAAACAAAGTCAGGCAGATTAATGTCCTGCCCCAGCCCCGATTTCCCGTTGAGCCTGACAGATCCTGGCAAAAGCTCCTGTGCCCAGAAATATATTTTGAGATCAGCATGCTTACAGATTATTTCCTTCAAATTAAATCCAAGTGGAGTTAATCTCATCTGTAGAGGGCAGGGAGCAGACAGGTGCAGCAGCCAAGGGGTCTTGAAGGGACTGAAGCAGAATTTGGGGAGCAGGAGCAGAGACACAAATGTGCATTGGCTACAAGGGCTTGGGGTGTGGTGTGACAATTGTGAGCTGACAGAAACCCCCACAGCTGCCACAAGAGGCAGGTCCTCCATTATCCATCCAGCTCCCCCCACCCCAGAAAGTAAGGAAAATTAAATTAGAATATTGCAAAAGGAACTCTAAAGCTCATGGATGCTCACAGGTGGAAGCAGCAGCTGCATCCTAAAGTTTGGTGATAAACACCTCAGGGGTTGCCATCGGGCATGTCCTCACTGAGTACACAAATGATGGCTCCTCTTATTTCTCTCCACTTTCCCATTTCCAACCAGTTGCCCTGGAAACATCCCCCTCGCAGCATTCACAGGAGCAAAGTCCAAAAGAAGAAAAAAACAGCTGCAAACCCTTTGTGGTGCAAACCTTGTGCCCAAGGGAGGCCAGAGGAGGATTTTGGGGTGAGCTGTGCCTGTACCAACCTGCCTCCCTCCCACACTGCACAGCTTGGCCCTGTGACCCCAGTGACGGGCACAGACCACATCCCACAATATCTCCCACATCCCACAATATCTCCTACATCCCACAATATYYCCYACATCCCACAATATCCCCCAAATCCCACAACAACCCCCACACCCCAGCCCAAACCCACACTGCACAAAGGCTGCACAGACCATCCCTCCTACAGCAACCCATGGAGAACTGGCTGATGGACAAAGAGCCAGAGGGGTGAACAACTCCCAGAAAACCCCGGGATGCTTTTCCAAGCGGGATAGAAGCAGCCCCACCAGAGGGTTGCAATTAATTCCCCATTAGGATAAACTCCAATTTGGCTGAGTAGGAGGAACGTGCACAAGACGTTTTGTTCTTCTGCAGAGAGCACCTGCAATTCATAAAGGAAAAAAGAAACAGAAAACAATTAAAATATAAAATCCTAATCCTCATTTGCACAGGAAGAATTAAGAGACCCTGGATCAGCACAGCCAGCCCATCYTGAGGATGCCAGGCCATGCTGGAGGCGTCTCTGGAGGGCTTTGTCCCAGCAAACCCTGTCACCCTGAGTGTAAATGCAAGGTCCAGCAAGCAGGGCTGGGAGCAGATGTTCTGTGCAACCCACACCAGAAATTTGGGTCTCTGCTCTGAAGCAAGATGCCCCCAGCAGGCAGAGGAGGCTGGGTTCTCATCATGATTCCTTGTGTCCTGATTTCACAGGCTCGGGACTGCCACCCCAGCACCCAAACCCCACCCCTCAAACACAGAGCGAGGCAAGGGGCAAATGCCACCTCTCACCTGCAATGCACTCTCAAGTACATTTTCACTGCAGATTTCGTCTAAAATGCACTTTTCATGCATATTACCTATATTTATAACCATCTTTACATTCACAGCTTTACCTTTTTAGCCAAACACTTCACCCATCTGAGCTGCACATCACAATTTGTGCATTGCCCAGGATGCCTCGAATAAGACAAAGATGAGAASAAGGACAATCTCTGCTCCTGTGGAGTTATTCTCCAGGTCATGAACCCATTGATCCCACCTGCCTGGTTTATTTTCTTAAGGCTTAAGAGAGCTGGCTCAGAGGAAGGGTGGGGGCACGGGGCCCRTGGCTCTCACACCGCCCACGCTGTCAGGAAATACCCTGCCCCTACGTGGGGCTCAGCTGCTCTGATATTTTTTCCTGCACACCCCCAGAGACAGAAAATATTTATGTATTATACACCTATAAAAACATAGTAATGATATAGGAAAATATGTAGATATAGAAATAGCATAAAATGTTGAAGTATTTATGGAGTGTATCTGAATAGACAATGTTTAGATAAATATCTAATGAATAAATATATTGCATACACATATACATACACACACAATAAAAGGTTGAAAATCTGAAATGACAGAGCCAGGGAAAAGGCTTTACATCCAGATGCAATCAAAGGAGTGAACCATGCTGGATGTGTGCACAGAGGGAGCCAAGGATTGCCCGAATTTTGACCCATTCCATGACCCGCCATCAAGACGAATAAAATGCATCCCAACAACGTGGGGACCAAACAGCTTCCTCATGCCTCCTCAGCAGCTCCAGGCCAAGGCAGATCCACAACATGCCAGCTGGCTAAATCCTCTTCTCAGGACTGTTTTTCTTTTTGCTTTACCTTCAGAGCCCATCAGAAAATGCGAGTGGCTGCCAGGACAAAGTGGAGCTGCAGGATGGGGTTGGTGGCTCCCTGGGAGGGTGGCATGATGGCTACAGTGCTTACAATGMTGCATTTACCTGGGAGAACCTGGAGCACCAGAAAAGGACAATTCCCAACTTCCCAGCTGGACTTGCTCCCAGAACCTGCTAAGGATAATTTAAAGCCAATTATTGATTGAACCCAAAATTGTATACCTTCCCTCCCCTCATCAGTTCTTGCCCAGGTGGATCAACCACCACTGCTGCCAACAGAACTGTAGGCACCAAGAGCTAAATGTTTCATTGCCACTGAGGGAAAACTCCACTCCAGAGCTCCCAATAAAGGCTCTTGCTATTTGACCCTGTATTTCATCTGTGCGTGATGAAAAGTTTTAATATTGTACCTATGTATAGTCCTGCACCAGCAATTTCCAGTGCCAGCCTGAAGGAAAACACAGCACCCTCTGGAACAGAAAACCCTCTGGAGCMAAGTAAACAAAATGACAGTCTTATAAACCAGAAGCATCTGTCCCATTAAGGATGCAATTCGTAGACAGAATAACAAGCAATGAGTTATTTGGAAGTGCAGACTTTMAGGACATGGGCAATGTATCAGCAACAGAAACGCTGTGACTGCAAGACCTTGGCTCACGCGTGACTCAGCACAGCAGCTGCTTCCTGGAAAATTAATACTTCAGCCTCCCCAAAATGCCCGCAAAGCCTTTGAAAGATTGCAAAAACCAAGCCTGGAAGCCCCATCAGCCATCTGATGTGTCACTGCCCTGGGGATTAACACAGGTCCCCCACCCTGGCGCAGGGCAGGGACCTGCAGGGAGCTCCAGAAGTGACYGTGGGGACTCAAGGCAGGGCTGCCCACGGGAGACAATCACATTTTGGCCTCAAAGCTACCTCCTCACAAATCCCAAACTCCAAAGTCTCCCTCATCACCACAGACACCCCAAGCAAGCCCCTGCYCCAAGCCAAGTGTCCCTGAGCAGAGGCAGCAGCTGTTAAGGAGGTTAACRCAGAATCGTGTCAAGTAACAAACACCTAGTATTTATTAATAAATTAGTACACCGGAAGGCAATTTTTCAATTCATTCCCCTCTTCCCCCACTCCCACCCCTTCCCACGGGGCAGCTCATGCCACCCTCATACCATTATTTCTTCAAATTGAGCGTAGTACAGACTGTTCGTTACGGGAGCATAATAATTGCAAATATAATCAGACAGACTTCTTACGATG